TTCCTAGTAATTGCTTTTCTATGAAATTTTAATTTTATATCCTTTAAAATATTTTTCACGAACCAAACGTTCCTATGGGAGTAGAAGCATCACTAGGGGAAGTTGGCTTGATTTTGTTACCAACCACTCATATAAGCTATAGGTAGGTAAGGAATAAAAGAAATAAAACAAAAGCTGGTAAGAAATAAAAAGAAATAAAACAAAAGCTGGTAAGAAATAAAAAGAAATAAAACAAAAGCCATAAAACGAAAAGACACAAATACTCAAATTCAGGATATTAATTACTATGATGTTGACAATGAAATCCTCAAGGTTGTTACCGTCCCCTATCAGTACCGATCAACGCTTTAAAAATTATTGAGAAAATGGTCAAATAGACCCTTAAACTTTACTCAAAAGGGCAATTAGCCCCCTGATTTTTAAAATGGAGCAATTAAACACTTAAACTTGTTATTTTTAGGCATCTAAACTCAATAGCCGGTTATTTACCTGAAATAACAGGTCATTTAAAATTCCGGCGATATTCCGACGAAATTCCGGCGATATTCCGACCGAAAAATAAAATTTCTGACAATAATTTTTTTTAAAAAGTCTTTTACCGGAGAAGACGATCGGCCGGTCGTCTTCTCTGGTGGAGAAGACAACCAGTCCGGTCGTCTTCTCCTGGAGGAGAAGACCAGAGGTCGTCTTCTCCAATGGAGAAGGCGACCAGATCTGGTCGCCTTCTCCATTGGAGAAGACGACCTCTAGTCTTCTCCTCCAAGAGAAGACGACTGGACTGGTCGTCTTCTTCCATGCAGAAGACCGGTCGTCTTCTCCCATGGAGAAGAGGAGAAGACGACCGGAAATTGCTCCGGTGTTTTTTTTTTTTTACGGCGGTTAAGGACAAAAATTTACCGGTAACCTGTTGGTTACCGGTAAATTGAGCTTATTTGACTCAAAATAACAAGTTTAAGTGTTTAATTGTCCTTTTTTAAAGTTCAGGGGGCTAATTGCCCTTTTGAGTAAAGTTTAAGGGTCTATTTGACCATTTTTTCAAAATTATTTAATTATTAATTATTAATTTTATGATGGTGATTACTTTTTAGTACTATTTTTAGTACATTTTATATTAAATTGTTGTTCCCAAACTAGACTTGCTAGTGGAGTTCCCAATAATTTTTTTTTCCACCAATCAAACAATGAAATCTATTTTTCTAGTAATTTGTTTTCCAATGAATTTGAATTCCATTTCCCTTCAAATATTTTACAGGAACCAAACAGGTTATAGAATGACTTTCCCAACCAAAGTACATTTTCAATACATTCCTCTCTAAGATGAAGTCATGGCGATGAGAAAGGTACTCACATGGATCAAAGACCGTGGCCTCTCCAAAGTACACGTGGAATGAAACTACTTTTTTTTGAAGCTGGAATGAAACTACTTAATTCTTTGCAATAGTTTATTTAATTCTAGTAGTGACCGGTCTTATACCGAATTAGTTATCTGTGACTGTATGCGTCTTTTAGACTCTATTATCGATTGTCAAGTCTGCTATATTTGTAGATGTGAAATCAAGTTTTTTTTTTTTTTTTTTTCACCATAATTTATTTATAATATCTATTCAACAATTATACCAATTCTAAACTGGGATGGGACTCGAACCTGCAACTTTCCTTCTGAAAAGTAATAGCGATATCATTGGTTTAGATCATTTTAATTATTAACAAAACATTACTCTCTCTGTCTCATTTTATCAGTCCTACTTACTATTCATTGGTCAAACAAACTTTTTCTTCTTTGTTTATTTTTTAAATAATTTTTTACTTATTTTTAAATTTAAATTTTTGTGTTTAATAGTACTTTTAGTGTAGTTTCTAAATATATAAATTTTGTATACTAATAGTAAACTTAATATTATGAAAAATTGAATTAAAAACAACTTTAATCAAGACTCGTGAACTGTACTGAATTAGATAGAAAATGAGACATAGGGAGTATTATTTAACCAATTTTTTTTCTCTCTGCCCTTAAAAAGTCCCAACAAAGAAAAAATTATTTACTCATCCGTACAATAAAGTTGACTTCAATGTCAGACAGGCGGACACTCGGACAGCGTACATAAATTCATTGCGTACAATTGCAGTGAGAGCATCCACATCAGTGGATATTAGGGAGATAATGTCAGATGAACTATCTTGGGTGGGGATAATAACAAATGTGGGGTGGGGTTATTTGGGGAGATATTTATCCTGCAAGTTAAGGGTTAATGTCAGGAAAAAAAAAAAAAAAAAAAAAAAAAACATTGGCTGTGCGCGTTTGCGCACAGCCATTGTCTACACGGGCACGTGCACAGCGCGCCTGACGCGACAGATTTATATTATTATTTTTTTTAAATTTTGTTTTGTTATTTTTTTTTCTTTTTTTTTTCTCTCCCCTCCCACACTCTCTTTCCTAATCACTCTTACATTATCTCTCAAATCTTCCCAACTAATGTGGATGCTCTGAGGTGAATAAAGTATAACAAATTATTATTATTATTATTATTATTATTATTATTATTTTATTTTATTTTGAAATGAGTATAACAAATTATTATTTCCCGGTTCTCCTCATGATTTTTTTGAAAGCGTCTCAATGACTCAATTGCAACCTTATTTTATGTACTTTAAAATGTATAATTTAACCCTAAAAGGAGGTAGTTAATTTAGTGAAACATGAGTTTTGTATCAAAAGGTTATGTATTTGATTTTTTTTTTTCGGATCCTTATGAAAGAGCGGGATCCTAGTACTAGTGTATATTTTATTTTTAACTAATCTCTCTCAGCAACAACCCTCATCAATTAAAAATAATGTTTATTTTTCTTTAAACAAATTTCCAAATTTGACCATGTATACACAACAACATCTTTGAGAGAGATGCTCCTCAAATGATATTACAAAGTAGTATATGTTCTATACATTTTCTTCATCTGTTGTAGTCCAAAGAGTCATACTCCCACCATCGGGGATTAAATCGTGTGACATTCCCTCAAGGAGGGCCACAGAGGTGCCAACTGAGCACGAGGTGCTGGGCAAAGTTATGCTGAATTAGTTGTATTATGTGGGTGGTTGTAGTATATTTCTCAAACAAATAATTACCTGGAGTATCGGGTTATCGATCCACAAGAAAGTGGAGCGTATCAAGCACTAGCTACTAAATTATTCTTGTGAAGCTAATCCTAACGAAAATTATGGATGGTTGATTAATCATAAAACTAATAAAGTAGAGTAGCAGGTTTGTGAAAATAATAGAGAGAGAATGTGATTCCTAGGATTCAAGTATTTAATCACATAGTGTCAATCTAACATGCAATATCAAATATGGGTTTAAACAAGTGTGAGAATGTAAACAGGGGAAAGAGTGACTCCCGTAATGTAACACCCCACTTTTTTCTAAATCTTAATTACAATTATAAACCATAATTAACATAATCTAAGCAGCGGATAAACAACTTAATAAGAAAACTAGTGGGAATGTCCATAAACAACTTAATAAGAAAACTAAGGGTGAAACTAGAAATAAAGATAAATTAACTAACATCCATAAACTTACTGAAAGTCATAAGGGGGAAAAAGACACCCCGATGTCTACATCATCAAACAGCATCAACAACATAGGTCTATAAATTCGACCAATAAGATCATAATAAAAGTAATAAGAGTTTAGACTTCTATAACTACTAGACTAGTCTAACTCGATCACTTCTCAACGCTGGGCCCACTTGAAATGAATTTTACAAACAACACATAGACAAATAGGAAAATACCCATTAACACGAAGTTAAGTATAACCACACTCAACCCTGTAAAGTACTATAGAATATACTTTAGAAAAACATTTGATCACATACTAAGTCAAACAATCTCAACACATAAACAACTGTAGATACATCACAGACTTTCAATATGCTTGCAACATATATATATATATATATATATATATATATATATATATATATATATATATATATATATATAGTACAAGGTTTCGTATAAGTAAAAGAAAACAGCAAATGTTAGCAAGAAATGGATTAGCTTAGATGGCTGAGTGTGTGTTAGCTTATGGATTATGGAAGGTCAAGGGGTTCGAATTTGTTTTACGCCATACTGGCGTGAATGCAGTTTTTATGGCTAATTGAATAATAATGGTGGGGTTTCGAAAATTTGAATAATAATAGTGACTTGGTGAGGCTTTCAAAAAAAAAAACAAATTAATGGTGATATATATATATATATATTAATAATGAGATGTGTAATTTATAATGTGTTTTTTATTAGAATTATTTTATCAAATTAATTATGTTTCATATTTTGTTATAAATATTTTTATAAAGTTTTGATGTGTTTTATTTTTCGCTCATATCTAACAATATTTATGGCTAACTTTTAAGTGTTCCATTTTTTAAGCTATCTCTTTTGTTTTAATGTTTCGCCGCTCCATTGAAAAAAATTTATGAATCTGTCCCTAATTTAGAAGATCTTGATGCTTGACATTTTGTTATAGACTTATAGACAATTTTTATTATTTGAACTTCGCCCCCACTCAACTATTTTTCTGGGTCCGCCACTGAATATTGGTGATAAAAATGAACCCAACCTAAGGCCAGAAGCAAATGGGGGCCAATTCGAAAATACATAATATGCGTACTGAATATTCATAATTTACATATTTAATGTTCACAAATTACGTAATAAATATTTACAATTTACCTTTTACAAAATGGTAAGTATTCAATATGTAAATTATGTATGTTGGACTCGATCCATCCTACAAAGTGACCGGCGTCCACAAAATAATTTGCCAAATGGGGGCAGAAATGCATTATTACATATGTATGGTGTACATATGAAAGCTACTTTTTCCACATGCTTAAATCGTGACCACTGAGAAACTGAGAAGGAGCATTCTGGATTTGTGGGCACGACAAACAAAATATCAACACTAAACTCCATGGGTTTTTTGTTTTATTTTTTTTTAAAATTATCGGAGGTCACCTTTAACAAAGACTCAGAACAACCCTCTTTCTTATTATATAGTCTTCATTCAATCCGATTCAACAAAGGGGGATTGTTCATTATTTGTTCTTGTGTCTCACCTGGTGGTCGGAAAGCTTAATCTGCCAACTTCCCATGCGATGAGGATTTTCGACCAGTTAATGTGGTTGTTAGAATTTCCAACAAGCATTTTTGCATATCTCAAAAGTGATCGGAACACTGGTTTCTGACCCGATTTTGACAATTTCCAACCACTTTCTGGTGGTTGGAAAATCGCTGATTTTCAGTAGTGGTTGTTCTTGTTGTTTTGTAGGATATATTGGTCTTTATAATCATTATTCCTTACAATTCTAAACTCAAACCAACAATAGAATCAATATTTTTCTAATAACTTTTTTTTCATCAACCAAACAAAATATAATTAATCTTCCGGTGATTTTTTAAAGAAATTTTAAATTCATTCGTCAAATATTTTCTACAAACTAAACAGGTAGTTAATATTGGTGGTAGAAATGAACCTACACTTGTTATACCATGGACCAAGGTCTATTTTGGTCCTAAATTGTGTATTTTTAGTCTTAGAATTGTGAACATCTAGAATATAAATTGTGTTACTAAGTTTATAGAATTTTTGAATACAATATAGAGTCATTATAAATTGTGAATTTTTAAAATGTAAATTATGAAAATATTTAGTATGTAATAAATTGTTTCTTTTTGAACTCGAATCCACCTTACATTATTGTGTGGACCCGGGTCCACACAATAATTTGCCATGAACCCAACCCGGGGCAAATTATACGGTGCACCAAGGCGAACAATGCAATGAATGCATTGTGCACCCTGACACAAAACGACGTCGTTTTGTACTTTTTCGCGTGTCTGCTGTTAACTCTTTAAAAAAAAAAATTCATGTTTCGAATGTACAGAATTGTATAATAGAAAACACAGAATCTTATATCTGAAAACACATAATTTTATACCTGAAAACATAAAATTTTATAATTGAAAATTCCCATGTTTCCAATGTACAGAATTATATACCTGAAAACACAGAATTTTTTAACTGAAAGTTCCATGTTTCGAATGTACAGAATTATATAATAGAATGCACAGAATTTTATATCTGAAAACACAAAATTTTATAACTGAAAATTCCTATGTTTCGAATGTCCAGAATTATATAATAGAATGCACAGAATTTTATACATGAAAATACAAAACTTACCAAAATGACGTCGTTTTAGGATGCGCAGGACGCACATTGCTATGTGCACCATGATGCACGGTATAACGATTACCCAACTTGGGGCAAATTATTGTGTGGGCCAATGTTATGTGGACCATAACAAAATGTACATTTTTAATATACTAAATGTACATTATTTTTGTACTGTATCAGTACAAAAGTAATGTAAATTTTCTGAATACAATTTACATTATTTTTGTACTGAATATACATTATTTTACAATATACAAAATATGATTCATACAACTTGTGTGTACCATAATCCACACAATAATGATTGCGAACCTGGGGCCAGAAGCAAATGGGGACAGAAATGAATTATTATGAAAGCTACTTTTTCCACATGCTTAAATCCTGACCACTGAGAAACTGAGAAGGAGCATTCTGGACTTGTGGGGACGACAAACAAAATATCAACACTAAACTCCATGGCTTTTTTTTTTTTTAAAAAAAAATTATCCGAGGTCACCTTTAACAAAGACTCAGAACAACCCTCTTTCTTATTAATTATTATATATTGTCTTCAGTCAATCCGATTCATCAAGATTCAAGAAAGGGGGATACTTGTGTCTCACCAAAATTCCACTGGAAATGTCTGCCCTGAGTTGGGGTTGTCTTCTCTTTGTGCTTCTCCTGGCCACCAGTATTGATGGTGGGAAAGGGTCTTCTTCTGTGGATCAGCAAAAACTGGACGCAGTCTTGGATTTGCCAGGGCTTGGCTTCAATGTCAGCTTTGCACACTATTCTGGGTATGTGACTGTGAACCAGGAGTCTGGGAGAGCACTTTTTTATTGGTTCTTTGAGGCTGTGGAGGACCCTTCTTCTAAGCCTCTTGTTCTTTGGCTCAATGGAGGTACTCTACACCTTTCTGTCTTCCCTCTCATTGCTAGGATGTTTTTGCCTTCTGTTGATAAGAAAGGCTCCACCTTTTTGTTTTCTTGAATTGAAGAAGCTGGTGTTTATGAGAAAGATGATGTCTTTTTGGATTGATTACAAAAAGTTAAACTTTTGTGTTGTGTTTCAGATATCCACAAGCATAGAGTTAAAGTCATTTTTATGAAAATCTTGAATCTTACTAGTGCATGTGTGGTTTAATTTTGTGAATGGTAAATGCAGATTTCAGTGACATTTTGGTGGTCTTGCAGGGCCTGGATGTTCATCAATTGCTTTTGGATTGGCTGAGGAAGTTGGGCCTTTTCATGTTGAGAAAGATGGGAAGACCCTATACTGGAATCCTTACTCTTGGAACTTAGGTATTTTGATCACATTAGAACTACAATCTAGAGTGCAAAACTCAAAACTAATTTTTGTGAATTTAGTTGTATTTGTTGCTGAGAAAAGTAATAATTCAGAAGCATATGATGATGATGATTATTTTGGTGATTTGTGAGGAGAATTGGCCAATTTTAAATTTTTGTTCTGCAGCTGCAAATCTATTGTTTGTTGACTCTCCCGCGGGAGTTGGTTATTCGTATTCGAATACTTCCTCTGATATTCTTACTCATGGCGATAAAAGGACAGGTAGCACTCTAAACCTTATCTTTTCCGGGCTATATTTTCAATCTTTGTTTGCAAGAATGCAGTGATAACCGTCAACTTTTTGTGTTACAGCTGAGGATTCGCTAGAGTTTTTACTAAAATGGTTCGAAAGGTTCCCACAATATAAAGGGAGGGAGTTTTATATCACAGGAGAGAGCTATGCCGGTGAGTTAATTGAATGCTAAAGTATTGTGTGAAAAAAATGCACAAACTCCCCATTTCCCTACTCTAATGGCTCAATTAGGTAAGTTAGTATGATAGTCGGTTTCTTTTTGTTTCAGGGCATTATGTTCCTCAGCTAAGTCAGGCCATTGTGAAGCACAACGCTAATGTAAAAGACGTTGTGATCAACTTAAAGGGTTTCATGGTATGGTGGGAAATGAAAAAATTAAAAAAAAGAAAAACAAAAACAAAAAACCCGAGAATGATAAGGTTGCTATCATTTTCATGAATGAATAAAGTTGTCTGCTTTGTTACAGGTGGGAAATGCTTTGACTGATGACTACCATGACCACTTGGGACTTTTTCAGTTTATGTGGGCATCTGGTATGATTTCTGATCAAACGTTTAAGAAGGCGAATCTTTTGTGCGACTACCAATCGTTCATCCACCCCTCGGAGGAGTGCAATAAGGTTTTAGATACTGCTAGTGACGAGCTAGGAGATATCGATACCTACAGCATCTTCACCCCGACATGTACAGAAAGTTTTAGTATAATGAGCAGGGTGTTAAAAAGACGTGACGTAAGTCCAGATGACCACGTTTATGGTTTTATCTTTTATAATTACATTACATACTCGTGCCCGGTTACTCACAATAGGGAATAGGGATTTTCATTTCGGATTTATACTTTTTCCTTGCCAAACATCTCGTAAAAATCTCGTTTTATTTTGACAGAGGAAGGTTGGTCTTCTGAGGAGAATCTACGACCCCTGCACAGAGAGGCACTCGACTATCTACTTCAACCTTCCCGAAGTTCAGAAGGCTCTTCATGTTCATACCACTAATTCCTCGTTTGAATGGGTAACCTGCAGGTACTTTTATCTGCAGATGAGATTTTGAATTGGAGGAATGAAAGAGATTCTTATTGTTCGAATTCCACTTGAGCATATACTATATGTATTAAATACGGGGCCATATTTCATATCATGAGAAAAGCATATGCAAAACAAAATCATTAAGCACTAAGCAAGTTACAAATGAGGACATATGAGTTTATAAGGCCATGGGTTAGACTAGCTAATTGATTGATTCAGTCTTTTAGTTTGGTTTGGCCCATGTGCATTATAGGCCAGTTGAGTGACCTTGGCCCAATCTTAGATTATGATATGGTGTCAGAGCCTAGTTTCGGTCCACTTTGTGTTCATCCGAGTGTCTATCCGTGGTATTGGTGGCGTCCAAGCTTTGATCTGATACTGTTATCGACCTTCTGTTCAGAAGTTTCTCCCTACTTAATATCCTGAATATTTTAGTTTTACTACCTTTTTGCAGCGATGAGGTATATGACTTTTGGAAGGATTGTCCTACAACTGTGTTGGACGTCTATCAAGAACTTATAACTGCAGGGCTTCGCATTTGGGTATTCAGGTTTTCCTCTAAAACTCGACTCGTCTCTTATGCTCTCCCAAAACGTATCCTAGTAAGCTTATACCTGTCTAATTCCCGACACATAAGGGCAAAACTGCATTTAGAACTTGATGAAGTTAAAACGAGTATGGTAACACATCACGAGTTGCAGGAGAAGACTAAATTGTCTTTTGTTTATACTAGTTTCTTGGTATTCCTTAAAAACAGTGTGACTTGAGTTCTGAAGCGATTTTTACAACTATTTTGTGACGATTTTTTTGTTTTTCGTTTTTCGATAACAGTGGTGATACAGACGCTGTAATCCCTGTCACATCGACACGTTACAGCATAGACGCTCTCAAGCTTCCCACTGTTAGTCCCTGGCGCCCTTGGTATGACAATGGACAGGTAAGAGTCTCAGATTGAAAAATTAGAGAGAACATATGAGTTTATAAGGCTATGGGTTAGACTAACTAATTGCTTAGATTCAGAAGTTCAGAACATGTTCGGTCTACTTTGTGTTGCCATTGATTCATTCATTAAAGAATTATTACGACGATTGATGCATGAAATAGGTTGGGGGATGGACACAAGAATACGAAGGCCTGACGTTTGTTGCTGTACGAGGAGCAGGCCATGAAGTCGCTCTGCATAGGCCCAAACTAGCTCTCACGCTCGTCGAGTCTTTCCTGGCGGGAACTTCAATGCCCGGCCTGCAACGAATCAGCGACTCGTGATTGTTTAGCCCCCACGGGGAAGAACGGGAATAAAATGGTTAGCAGTTGCTCTGCTATGATGTATGATGTAGCTGCAGAAAGTTGGTTTTAGATTGTTGTAGACATATCCTTTTGGATGATGATTTGCTTTAATGCTTTAATCAAACTCATCAATGGAGGGCTCAAGGATCTGCAGTAAACAACAGAAAATGAGAAAACAATACAAATTGATCAATATATTTGAGAAATAAGATGCATCCAGTAATAAAGAAAACAATACAAATTGATTTATTGTAGGATGCCAACCAGAGAGCATTTTCAAGACTGCTTTCAATACAGGAAGAAACACCTTAGGTTGATCCTCATACCTAATGGGTTGCTGAGTTATTGTGATTTATTCCCTCCATAATTTTTGTCGGGGCAAAGTGTGGGGTGTTTGGACGACGGATTTCGCCTTTTGTGGACAAGAATTATTGTGTGGACTACGGTCCAAAGCAACGAATGTGTTAAAAAAAATTCTTGAACCTACTGAAGCACAGAGAGCTAATAGTGCCTGAGATTCAAACCCACAACTTCCCATGTGGGACTTCAATTTGGTGCCATTAGACCACAAGGTCCTTGGCAGAATAATATACTTTATATGTATTAGAATAATAATTTTTTTTTGGAATAAGATAATGTATTTTATGAGTTAGAAAAATGTATTTTATGTGTTTTTAGACTGTGGTCCACAGTTGCAAACTTGAAAGTTTAGAAAGGGTAAAATCCTAACCTTTGATTTCTCATGATAGAGGGTGTTGATGTGTCTAACTATGATGGAGGGTGTTGATTTCTCATTAGTTATTCCTTTAATTGGACTATAATTAGAATCAAAATTGATTATTTAATACGCACGACTATGATGGGAATTTCTATCCTCGTTGTAGTTGGTCAAATTGATTATGAGTGTATATCATTAAATTCTACTAAAAGATATCTTAATCAAGGAGTGAACGTTTGGAAAAAGACCATTAAGATGCTCCACTTAAGGTGATGGATTGTAATTGTCTTCATAGTTCATACCTCCCGAATTAGATTGTATATCGAATAATAACTCCATTTTTTTTTTTTACAATCGTGATTTATTTTTAAAACTTTCTGAAGTCTGAACACCGAATCATTAGAAATTTGGTGGCCACGTCCGTCAATTATTGACCTATCTATTCAGATTTTCGTCCATTAACACTCAATTTTCAATCACCTTTCAATGACAAAAAAAAAAAAAAAAACTGGTAGTGTTCATATTATTAGGACTATGTTATTCATATTAGATTAGGACTATGTTATCCATATTAGATTAGGACTATGTTATTCGTGTTAGACTAGGATTCTATCTAATATCTATATATTCGCTCTCTGTACTCTCAGACGTTATGATTGAATACAACACAATCTATATTCTCATCTGGTATCAGTTTCCAGGTTTTCTCTCATGGAGCTAGGGTTTAGCGCTTAAGAGTGTTGCTAATTACAATTGTTGGTTGATGTGGTTCCATGATTACAATGAGAACTTGTTCGGCGGCGACGGAACCGTGTCAAATTTGTAAAGGTTTCGGTCACACGGGAGCTAATTGTTTATGACACTATGATGAACCGTGTCAAATTTGTAAAGGTTTCGGTCACACGGGAGCCAATTGTTTTTGGCGCTATGATGATCCGTGTCAAATTTGTAAATGTTTCGGTCACACAGGAGCCAATTGTTTACGGCGATATTCAGGGGCTCCGGGTTCTCAGCATTTTTCACCCTCATCGGCTCCTCAGGCGAATGTAGCCGTTTCTGGTGATGACTCGGGTGGTCCACATGAGTGGTTTCCTGATACTGGTGCTACCAACCATGCTACGCCCGATCCTTCTTTGTTGACCTCTGCAACGGGTTATCGGCCCTGAGACTCTTCGTGTTGGCAGTGGTACAGGTTTGCCTATTGTTAATGTTGGTTCAGCTTCGTTAGCCACTAATTCTAGGTCTTTTAAGTTAAATGATGTTTTGTATGTTCCTGATCTTTCTAGTTCATTATTATCTGTCCAGCGTTTTGCCAAAGATAATAATGTTTTCTTTGAGTTTCACCCACTTTGTTTCTTTGTGAAAGACATTTTGACCAAGAAAGTCTTATTTAAAGGGCATGCATCTGATGGCCTGTACTCCTGGCCTGCGTCCTCTCCTGCTCCAGCTGCATTCGTTGCTGCGCGTTCCTCTTTTGTCTGGCATATGCGGTTGGGGCATCTGCACACTCGAGTCTTATCCGCACATTCGAGTCTTATCCGCACACTCGAGTCTTACGCAAAATTTTAGAGTCTTCGTCTGTAAGTACTTTTAATTCGAAAGATCTTCCCAATGTTTGTTCCTCTTGTCAATTGGGAAAATCATCACATTTTCCATTATCTCGTGTTGAAACTACTAGTACAAATCCTTTAGAATTAATATATTATGATATTTGGGGCCCTGCGCCGTTACTTTCTGTGAATGGCTTTAAATATTTTGTGTTGTTTGTGGATGATTACACACGGTATATATGGTATTATCCGATGCGTGCCAAATCTGAATTATATGGCATATTTGATAAGTTTCGGTCACTTGTTGAACGTTGTTTTTCTCGCAAGATTATTTCTTTTCAATCTAATTTAGGGGGAGAATATAAGAAGCTTGGTCCCACCCTTTCTTCTCTAGGTATTCGTCACAGGCAATCTTGTGCCTATCATGAACAGAATGGACGGGTGGAGCGCAAGCATCGTCATGTTGTTGAGACATGACTGTCCTTAATGGCTCAAGCATCTGTTCCTTCTCGTTTCTAGGACTATGCTTTTGAGACTACTGTCTATCTTATAAATAAAATGCCCACTCGTGTTTTGTCTGACGAGTCACCACACTTTCGTTTGCATCGTTCTCCCCCATCCTACTCTTACTTGCGTGTATTTGGTTGTTTGTGCTTTCCTGTTTTGCGTCCATATAATCGAAATAAGCTACAATTTCGTTCATTCCGTGTGTCTTTCTGGGTTACCCCTCGTCTTATCGTGGCTATCGTTGTTTAGATACTAACACTAACAAGGTTTTTATCTGTCGCACGTGCGGTTCGATGAGGCTGTGTTTCCTTTTGTTTCTCCTATTGCCTCGCAGGTTCTTAAGCCACGGTCCGAACCGTGGGCCACCACACCGGTTGTGACGAGCCGAGGGAATGATGTCTCGGCCACCTTTGTTGATGGCACTCGGCAGATTGACGAGCCCGTGTTGGCTTCTGGCCATGGTGACGGTGCTGGTCACGAGCAGTCCGCATCGAGTGAGCGGATTGTCTCGGACCAGTAGGTTGAGCAGCGCGGCAGACCGCGCGGGCGTCCTCGGCGATCCACTCCACCTCCTCGGTCGCATGGCATGAACACTCGTAGCTCGGGTCTGCATCAACATGTTGCCTTAACCACTACTTCCACCGTGGTGTCTGAGCCTACCTGTTACTCTCAGGCGGTCAAGTTCCCTGAGTGGCGTGATGCAATCGACGCAGAGTTCAATGCCTTGGTTCATAATCATACATGGAGTCTTGTTCCTTCTCAACCAGGTATGAATGTTGTTGGTTGCAAGTGGGTTTTCAGAACCAAACGGAAGGTCGATGGTTCAATAGAACGTCATAAAGCACGATTGGTGGCCAAGGGTTTTAATTAGGTTGTTGGAGAGGACTTTTTTGAGACATTTAGTCCTGTGGTTAAACCCACTACGGTACATCTTCTCTTATCTTTAGCTGTATCGAGTGGGTGGTCTATTTGCCAGTTGGATATTCACAATGCTTTTTTGAATGGCGAGCTAGCTGAGACTGTTTACATGCGCCAACCACCTGGTTATGAGGATCGGTCATTACCTGATCATGTGTGTTTGCTTAAAAAATCTCTCTACGGTCTCAAACAGGCTCCACGTGCATGGTTCACAAGGCTACATGATTTTCTAGTCTTTGTGGGCTTTGCTGTAACACCCCACTTTTCTAACTCTTAATCATAAATCTAAACCACGATTATCATAAACTAAGCAGCGGAAATAAATAGCTAAAAGATAACTAGTGGGAATGTCACCGCCACAACCACCACTCTATGGTGATTGCACAGGCTAAGGGGTAGAACTAGAAATAAATTAAATATCTAACATCCATAATATAACTGAAATCGTAAGGGGGAAAAAGGTCACCCCAAAAGTCTACATCATCAAAGTCTACAAATCAACATAAGTCTAAAATCTGGATAATAAAGTCATCAACAAAGCATAAGAGTTTAGACATCTCAAACTACGAGACTAATCTAACTCGATCACTTCTCACTGCTGGGCCCACCTGAAAGGGGTTTTGCAAGCAACACATAGACAAATAGGAAAACACCCGTTAGCACGAAGCTAAGTATAATCACACTCAACCCTGTAAAGTACTATAGAATATACTTTGAAAACATTTGATTTCACTTGTAAACAACAAACTCATCTCATATACATCTTTAGATCTATCATATACTTTCTAGATGCTTGCAACTTATAATATCAACAAACATGCTTCAAAACATAAGACTTAACAACCTAGATACTTCAACATGTAAACTTCACAATAAACTTAACAAGCAACTCATGCTTACAAGTAATCTCATGCTAGTAAACTATATAATAGGTATTCTCATGCTCTCAAATTCTCATCTCATAAACTGGATATACAAGGCTTCAAATATGACTATACGTTCATGCTCGATGTACAAACTTAAATCAATATTTTCATTATACAAACACATACGATATTCTACTCAAATACAATCTTGTGCAATATTATAGTACATGCAATCTCGTGCAATTCTATACTCATACTCATATGCAATCTCGTGCAATTCTATACTCATACTCATATGCAATCTCGTGCAATACTATACTCATACTCATATGCAATCTCGTGCAATACTATAAATATATACACATGTACACTCGTTGTAAAAATAGAGTACTTTCTGTGGAGGTCTCTTTGAGTCTCTCTTGACTCGCTTTCTTTTCTCTTGAGTCTCTCTTCACTCACTTTCTTTTCTCTTGAGTCTCTCTTGACTCACTTTCTTTTCTCTTGAGTCTCTCTTGACTCACTTTCTTTTCTTCTCACTCGTAGACGGCTCAGGGTTTCACCGTAGCGTGAATTGCCTCATCGGGAGCGGCGTAAATCCGACCCAATATCTCTTATCATCTACGGAACCAATCTCGTGGTTCTCACTCTGTGGAATC